TGGATGGATGGATGGATGGATGGATGGATGGATGGATGGATGGATGGATGGATGGATGGATGGATGGAAATGTTGATGCAGACAAAAAGGTCTAAAACATAATGATCCTATGTAACCATTCCTTCATTGCTCTGAAGAACTTCTAAGTCTTTCTGAGAAGAGAAAATTACCCCATATTCAGCATTTAGCGAAATTACATTTTGCTAAAAAAAAAATAAGCCCAATGAAGAACTGAAGTTGACCCTCTAAGAAACAGGCCTCCCTCATTTACATAATAAAACAGAAATGCATACAGAAATCTAAAAATGACAGGCATAAATAAATAGCTTTGAAGAAATAAATTGGGTAATAAAAATACAAAAGAGGAATAAAACAGACAAAAAATATAATATCATTTGTATAAATAAATACTTAAAAAAATAAGTAATAAATAAATTAAGTTGAAGATTATAACAGAAAATAAATGAATAAGGTAATTATTACAAAGGCGAATAAATAAAAAAGCTATTAAAAGAGATTCATACATTTATGGCTCACTGTATAATTTAATTTCTACCTACATTTATTTGTTTATTGTATTTTTGGGGGGCAATTAATTATCAGCTTTTTTTATTTATTGAGCATTTATTTATTTCTGTATTTATTTCTAAATATGGCAAAGTTGGTCCTCCATATTACAGAAGTGCCATCTAATAAAAATGTAAATATTTCCTCAGGATAATTAGGATTTAGATCTAAGCATACCATATTTTGGGACAGCTCCCCGCCGTCAAAGTGGCGCTCCAGATAGTCCATAGACAGGAGTTGGCTGTAACGAAAAAGTAAAAAAACAATTGTCAGGAAAATGCCATGAGAAATTGGATTTTCAGGTTCAAAACCAGAACCTCTGTATGAAAATAAACTGAGATGACAGTAAGGATGACTGTTTAGAGATAGAAAATAGAAAACCAAAGGTTTATCCTTCTTTAAGGCTGCATATTTATAAAATAAAAAAATCTGGAAAATAGAGCTTAGGAAAACCGAGACTATAGCACAACACGTCATTCAAACAAAAGTCTGTCGTTTGGTTAATTTTATAAAAAATACACTGGAAATTTTCAGTTTGACGGACTGGAACTGCAAAACCTCCAACTTGATCTCATCAGGGTTAAAATACTAAAATCAAAAGGGTTTTCTCAGAGTATTGTGACAGCTGAAGAGTAGTTTAGCCTACAGCGACAAAAACACGGCTGTATAGAATGTGGGGGGAGGGAGATGGAAAGAAAAAAGCCTTTAAGTGACTTCTATAAGAAAACTAACATGTTCTTTGATGGTTCAGGGATGTGCCAATGTGCCACTGGCAGGTTTACTTACTGGTTCAGTTCCAGGTCAAGGATGAATGATGAGCCAAAGGCCTCCACCAGGAAGCTGCTCTGAGCCAAATGGATGGGCTAGCAGAGAAGGAGAACAAATAATGAGAATGAAGGGAAGAATAAAATCTAACTAAATTAAAAAAGAAGATTATATTGAGTTTTCATTGAGTTTGTATTATTTCAGGTAGTCATTATTTTATTTATTTTGTAAACATTCAATATTTTAGATCAAAAGTTAATGGCAAGCAGAAAACTCACATTAAATAAGTATATCATGAAGGTATAAAACACAAAGAGCCCCCCTGCCTGTCAGAGAACAAGAATAAAATATGGTTTCGATAAAAAGACTGAGAAACAAATTTGCCGTGCAGAGTTTTTAATGTTATGATTGTGTGTAAAAGAACTGCAAGGTTTCAAGAAATGTAAAGATGTTACTTGTGTTAGGAATCCAGTTTTTGTGGGTTGTTTGTGTGTATTTCTCTCTCCACCACCAGGTGGTGCCCTGTTCCTTGTTTGGCCTTCCTGCACACCTGCGGCTCGTTGGATCATTACCGGAGGAGTATTTGAGCAGCGGGCTGTCACTACCTTGACGCCAGAGTGTTTGCTAATCTCAGCTTGGCAAGAGTACCCAAAACTGGCAGAGTCTAACCGAAGCTTTGTTTCTCTGAGTCTAATCTTGTTTTTGTCTTTGCTCTTCGGCAGGAAGCCTTTTCCTGTGTAACTGGATAACCTGGACCTTCTCCCCCGGAACGATTACTGAATACACACTGAGCAGGGGTAAACCTCCACATGATCCGTTCAAGTCCTCATCGGAAAACCAAGTGACAGTCTGCTCCTTTACTCCGCGGACAGGTATGTATGTCTACCTGTCCACTCTCCAACGAGTTTCCTCTCCTCTGGATTAATTCCCCACAAAATGGATTCAAGGATTAACAAGAGCCCCCTCAAATGTGAGTTTCTCTCCAGCTAAATTCAAACCTCATTCAACTTTCCTACGGTCCCTAAACTGATGACTGTGACCGCTCCTTCAGACTTTCCGGTTCCGGTTCACCAGTCCACTGAGTTCCAGCTCCTACTTCTGTGTTTCATCAACATTCAATAAACCTGTTAAACTTTTACCCTTGGTCTCTAAGTGGTTCTCTGCATGTGGGTCAGATCGCTTAAACCAATTCTGACAACTTGTGATTGGTTACTAGGGTCGTTCACACCTCAGTAAGGAGGATCTGGCCCATCTTTATAGAAATTTTATATCTTTCGTTTTTTTTTTTTTGCTGCAAAAACAAAGCTTCTGCTGTCTCAATGGATTTTCTGTGACTTTGGTTTATAAACTAGCTATAAACCAAAGTCACTTTAGCTATTACACTGTACGTATAGTATGTTTAGGGCTCTATGACGCTGGGACACACATCCACACCTCATTTTTAGTATTTGCACCAAGGGAGAAAGGTTTAATGGTTTAATCTCTGCATGTTTTAGTAAAGCCATTGGTAAAGCTATCCTGGGCCCTTAGCAAAACATTAGCAACAAAAACCATAATGATTCTCCCTCCATGCTTGAAAATGGAGAATGTGTTTAGATCACACTCCATATGTTTTCTCATCAGGACACACCAGATGTGTCTCTTCTTAATAGTTCCCTTCTCTGAATCATCTAGAAGTTCACCAAACATTAGAGGATCATGTAATATCTGTTTCTTCTAACAGGATATGGAAAAATCAATCCATGACAGAGGGGTGCTTTACCAACAAGCTCCTCCTAGGAAGTTGTAAGTTGATCCTCACCTAACCTATGATCAGTCTCATCTAGGAGCTGAAATCTAGCTTCCAATTGAAGAGGCTCTACAGTCTTTTAAAAATGTATTCCATTTCAAACTCGCAGCTGTCTTCTTCACAAGTAGAGTTTAAAGGGTTTTTTTTTTCGTATTATTTTTAATCAACAATCTAGTGCAGGGGTCACCGATGTGGTGCCCGCAGGCACCAAGGGGCCCTCAGGGGCCTCATGGGGTGCCAACAGCATCTTCTGAAATCAGTACAACTCACCAATGGGCTAAGATAGACATTTTGATTTTATTCTGTTGTCCTTTTTTAATCATTTATAGAGCATTTTATCATACAGGTTATTTAAGCCTTTATAGAGATTTTAAAATGACAATATGATAAAGAAAATTAGAAGCTGGAAAAAAAACAATAAAAATATGTTTATTATGTATGAAGTTAAGGTGAACACTGATCCTTCCTTCCCTCCTTCTTTCCTAACTTCACTCCTTCAGAATCTCCATCCTTCCTTCCTATCCCTCTCTCCATTCCTCCCAACCTCCCTCCCTCCCACTTTCCTTTCTTTCCTTTCCTCCGTCCCTTTCTCACTTCCTCCTTCCATCCTTCCTCCCTCCTTCTTCCTACCTTCTTTCGTTCCCTCCCTCTATCCTTGCCTCCTTCTTTCCTTCCTTCGCTCCCAATAAAAACCTGTTTATAATGTATAAAGTTAAGGGGAAAACTGATCCTTCCTTCCTTCCTTCCTTCCTTCCTTCCTTCCTTCCTTCCTTCCTTCCTTCCTTCCTCCAGTTCATAGGTCAGTATTGGTAGCTCTTCCTATGAGTCAGTACGCATGAATTCGCCCTCGGCCTTAAAAAGGTTGATGACCCCCTGAACTAATGTGTGACATCCTCTGGTCTTCCAAAGACACCAGTTAGGCAGACAGGTGTGCTTTGAGGTCAGGAGGGTCTCCAAAACATCTTTGGCTTGATTTAAGCACCTAATGGATTCAGGACCGATCCAAGTGAGCTTTCTCAATGGCATACAGATTAGTCTTTAATTCTTATGTAAAGTATTTGTTTTGGATTTTTTTTATTAACATTCTGTCTATCTCCTCTCAGCAAAATGACTTCCTACAAAAACTGGAGCAAATTTGTTCAATCATCATGGGACCAAGTAATTATTTCTCTAACTGTAACACAGGAAAAACCAGGACTGGAATTGGTAGAACAGCCTGAGTTACATTATTGCATTAATCAAGATTTTATTTGCATTGAGGGACAACATTTCTGCAAACGACCCCCTGAAAAAAGAACTTTGTGTTCTTTAATTTGCTTATGTTCTTTTTTTTTTTTAGTTTAACACTATTGGGACAGTGTGATTAAATTAACGTGTTAGATTTTTTTTTTCAATCCACTGTAAAGCCCCATTGGCTATCAAATATAAGAAAAGATAACATCCTCTCAACGGACTGGATATTCTGACTTAAATGCTATCGAAAGGCTAGGAAATTATATGTTTTTATCTAAAAGGGGTCATTAGCTGCTGTATTTTAAAGGGCAGCAATGCTAAATTAAAACATTGAGTTTTTGTTCAAACAAGTGGTAAAAAAAAATAACAGAACAGAAACCTTTAAACTGGAAACCATAGATCTATGAAAGATACCAAAGAGCAACAGTGATCCCAAACAACTAGCAAGAATGATTCAGCAACTTGTCAAACATAAAAAAAAAACTGCAGAATTAGCCTGTGAAAAAAAGGGGGACAGTGTGGAGGAGTGAAGAGAGCTTGTGATTAATGTCAGATTTTTTTGACAGCAGGATTCACACCCAGAAGAGAAAAGACCTCCCTCTACTGTGATTTCTCCCTCTTTGATAAGGGCTACAGAGAAAACCTCTCAGCTGTTAATAGCCTCAGTCTAAAATCACTTCCAGGTTTATTCCACCCAGCTGTTCTAGCTGTAAACTAGCTAGTCCCATTCAGAAAACTTGTTTTATGACCCTCTTTGTGTCCAACCTAAGGTATAGAGTTCCTACAGGTTTAATATTAATAAATAATTGAGGAATAAAATCAGGGCTTTTAAGATTCTTTCGTCCCCTTTTTTATTTTTTTAATAAAAGCAACAACAAAAAAAACGCGAAAGCTTACAATTATGTTTGGTGGATTATCCTACAGATGTCAAGAGTTTAATAATCAAATATGTCCTTCCAGAAACAGCATGGCAAAATCCCAAACCAGCCTCTTAACATTAACCCTAGGCCAGGGGTCTTCAATGTTTTCCAGGCCAAGGACCCCGAAAGCTGACGGCGAGAATGAGCGGGGACCCCTTAATTATATATATATTGCATGAAATTGTGTTATAGCAAAATGGTCCTATAGTCACTCTATCACATATGGAGTAATGTAACGAAAGTGCTTGTCCTGGGATTATTAAAGCATTTCTGATTCGAATTCCTGGTTGATGGGACAGGTGTTGTGAATGAAACGGTGCCCAGCTTAAAAGAGCTCCAGTGTGTCACTGAATGTGTGCATTGATCGCTGAAAGACATCTTCTTCCTCCATTTATCTGTTTACTTCAGTGTGTTAAATTCATGTTAATGTGTATTTAAGTTATTTTTGCCACCCTTGATTAAATGTACATGTAAGGAATTCTTACGTTTCATGAAAGAGGCAGTGAGACAACATGCTGACCACAAAGGGCAGCTCAGAGTCAGGCCTGTGTCACTGACCCGTCGGTC